AAAAAAAAAAAGAATGAACTAAACAGAGAGAATGAAATGGACTGGGGCCCACAGGGAGGGACACGTGTTCTCTGTGGTCCTTCCAAAGGCCTGGCAAAAACAATGCTGACACCTACTATGTGCCGGCCTAAAACAGCTCCTGCTGCGTGCTAAGAGCTCCATAGAACAAAGTAAATGAAGATGTTCCAGTTCTTCTTGGGCCTCGGTGCAACTGTTTTCTCCAGGCCGCTGGGCTGTGCTCCCCTCCCCATCCCAGTCCTTGAAGAACCCCTGGGCCGACCCCCAGCAGGTTTACCCCTAGGGTAAACCAGGTGCAGAGAAAACTTAGCTCGGGGTCTGGGCCTGCGGGGCTTCAGGTCAATTGGCTGCGCGACTCAGGGTCGCAAGCTGGGAAAGTCAGGCGTCCCAGCTCCCAGTCCTCTTTCCATAGTCCCTGACATCCGCGGGCAACCGCGGGTGACCGGATTCTCCACGGACGCTTACCTGGCCTCAACGCTGGCCTCCCACCCGCAACGTTCTGGGGTAACCCGAACCACTGCAGAAGGTAGATCGCAGAGGCATTCCTGGGACTGCGCACGCGCAGTACTCCCGCCACCGCTTCCCTCACTTGCCCCAGGCTCATTCTTACCAACTGCGCATGCGGTAACCGGAGGCTTCTTTTCGCGTGCCATCTGCCGACTCCCAGAGAACCAATCAGACCAGAGAACGTGCATAAGCCCCGCCTCCTTCCATTTCCCAGGCGTCGGACCTCCCTCTTTTGCGCGAGGGGCGGGAAGGGAAAGGGGCGGCCGACACGCGCGTCGCGGTTCGGCCGTCTCCGCCCCCTTTCAAACAGCCAATCGCAGGCAAGGTGCCGGGCGCGCGCACGCTCCCTCGAGTTTAACGGTCGCGAGAGGCCGCTCGCCCGACCCTGACATCGGCTGTGGGAGCAGCGGCCAGGTAAGCGGTTGCCGGCCTGCGTGGAGCTGTCGGCCGCGGGGGGCAAGGGGACGAGGCTTGGAAGACACGGCCTTAGCAGAACCCCAGGGGTGCTGATGGATTTAGGGCGGGGAGGACGACGACCAGACGACGCACCCCCCCACACCGCATCCCTCCAGTGTGTGGGGGCTTCGCCCGTGGCCGTGTGCCTTTTCTAGCCTCAGTGCCCTTGAGTGACACCCGCGCGGCCCAATCGCAGAGCGCCTCTTCCCCAGGGGCGGGGGGCTTGTGGGATTTTTCTTCTTCTCTTCTTTTTTTTTTTGTTTGGACGGTCTTCCTTGCTTTACTTTGGGAATCACGATTGTAGTTGTTGGAACGGCGGCTTTTCCTTTCGCCTCTTTGCTGCCTCCAGTTTAGGCGGCTGCATTCGGTGGTTCTCCCTCGCCTTTGACCCGAGAGCCACCACCAGCAATTGAGGTCTGGCTGTGAGGGCGAGGATGTCGGGATCTGGCCTCAAAACCTCTGCAGTCCTCTCTTCCTTACGCCCTCGGGCTCCCGGCAAAGCGCAGCGCCGGGTTAACTTTTATAGTATCAGCAGACCCCGATCTGGTCTTTTTTTTTTTTTTCCTCCAGCGACCTTCCCTCCCCCTTTTTCTTTTTTACTAGGTGTCGTGGGGACAAAGAGCGTGACATTTCGTTACCGGGAAATATAAAAATGGCTCTGTGCTTATATCCATTGTCCATCGAGTTTTGTTTTATATTGTGTGTGTATGTGTGTTTTTTTTTTTTTTTTTAATTTTGCATTTAGGTCGGGGGTTTCTGCCCCCTTCCTTCATTCCCTCCCCTTACCCCCCACCCCTCCACTGGAGAAGCATCTTTGCCTCTCAAGTGGTTTTTCCATCTGCATGTTCTGCATCCGGATTACCTCGGCGGGAGGAAATAATAGATGGGATTGCAGATCCACGTCCGTGGAGAGTTTGTGTTTCCCCGTAGAAGAGCAGGGTGATTTGAATCCAGCTATTTTCGTTGCCACTTGGAAGGTGCAGCCCCAGACTTTTTCAGTACCACATTTGTCGTTGGCTATGGGCTGAGCCCCTGGGGAGAAATCCATTTAGGTAGGTCCTCTTACCCTGGGCTTTGACAAAACCTTTCCCCCTGAAGGAAATGGTTCCTTTAAGAGCTGCTGTTTTTTAAGGTTGTGCTTTCTAAACCAGGCCTAGGAAGTGGGAACCTAGTGGAATCAGAATAGATCTCTTCGCACTCCCTAAAGTTTGTATCTTTTAAGCAGCATAGATTTTTTTTTCTTTTTCTCTTGCTTCTTCACTTAAAAAAAAAAAAATACATGAATTCCCTAAGAAGGAAGCATGGTGTTTGATTTGTTATAGCCAATTTGTCTCTGTACACCTAGCATCAGTTAACCTGCATCAATTAAGCAGTTATTTTTAGTTTTTAGTTTTTGTTTGACCCGGCAAATAGTTTATTTTTAAACAAGTCATATATGCATAGAGTAGTAAAGGCTATGATAGTGCAAAATGCATTTCTTCCACCCCTACGTTCCAGCTAATGGAGAAAACAACCATTTAATTTGCTATGTTAAATACCAAATTAAATACTAAGTAGTTCCAATTTATCTATTCGAAGTATAAATCAACAAGTATGGATCCTTGGTAGAACTTATTAAACAAATGAACAAAGCATCTAAGTATTCCAATTGTTACATAGTAGAATTGTGTCTAGAATCCTAATAATTAAACACATAAAATTCTGAAATACTACCTGGAAAAGATGATGCTACTTTTGCAAATCACTCTTATTGTAGATTTTTTGAGATAAAATTCACATAACATAAAATGCATCCTTTTAAAGTATACAATTCATAGGTTTTTAGTATATTCACATATGGGTTGGGCAGCCATCACCACTTTGTAATTCAACAATTAACCCCAAAAAGACACTCCATACCCCTTTTTGGTCACTGCCATTTTCTCCTTCCCCCAACTTCTGGCAACCATAAATCTACTTTGTGTCTCAAGAGATTTGCTCTTCTACATTTTTCACATAAATGGAATCATACACTAGGTGATCTTTTGCTGAGCTTTTACTTAAACATAATAATTCAGTGTTTATCCACATTGTAGTATGTATCAGTATTTTGTACCTTTTTATGGCTGAGAAATATTCCATTATATGTATATTTCACATTTATCTATTCATCAGTTGATGGACACTTGGGTTGTTTCTGCATTTTGACTATTGTAAATAATGTTGCTGTTCTTAATGTAGATTTGTTTAAAAGGATCAAGGTTTCCAAAGTAGTGAAAAGACAGTTGCTAGGTTTAGTGGCTTTTTATAGTATTTTTTCCTCCATTCATTTTCAGACTCTCTTGGGAGCTTAGGATATTTCACAGTTCTGAATGTTAGCATCTGAAAATGCCTGTAGATGATGAAGCATCTGAAGATGACTCGGATTCAGTTTCTTCAAACATTGAAAGAACCTACATTCTCAAATAAGAGAGTATAACAATTTCTGTACACTATGGAAGATATTGATTTGGTGAAACCCTTACGAAAAACTTCATCTTCTGTAGAATCTGATATAAAAAATTCTCCCCATTCTTTTGGACTGAACTTAAATACTAATAGGTAAGAATGGGATAGATAGATTTTTTTTTTAAATGTAACAACAAATCAAAATAAGCTTACTTGTGTAGTTTATCCAAGTAGTGTGATAATTATTTGTTCTATTTAAATAACGATGACAGTGCTCAAACAGGAGCTGTTCTGGGACTAGTTAAGAATAGTTTCAAGGGGGGGGTGCCTGGGTGGCTCAGATGGTTAAGCGTCTGCCTTCGGCTCAGGTCATGATCCCAGGGTCCTGGGATCGAGCCCCACATCCGGCTCCC